ACGGCAAGAAGGAGCCTCTCGCACCGACTTGATACTTAAATTTTCTCCCGACGTAACATCTCGAGCGTAACGAATCAATTGGTCGCGAATTATCGTTCCCAGCTCGCGCGCTTGCTACTATTCGCCATTCGTTCGTGAATTATTTGCGCGCGGCTATCGTATATCAGATAATAAATCCACTAACTACAGACATCATGATATCTGACCATCTCCTGTGTCGACTTTAACATCACAATCTGATACACAGTCGATATCGGCAAAACTTATACCGACGTGAGTCCGTTTCATTGGAGCCCGCGCAAACTTCCAGCCAGTCACTCGTTGTACTCCGCTCATTTTCCCACGAGCTCAGTAGGCCAATTCACTAACTTTACAACGACAATGTCAGCTGGTATGCCGTTGCGCAGCTTTCCTATCATGCATTACACCTATACCGCGCAACGACAACGCAACGATAACAATAACTGTCGTTAAAGCTTGATCTATAATATGTCCTTTGCTTCCTGCTTCATTCTGACTAAAAGCCTAAAGCTCATCTACAATGAGCTCTTCGCTTTCTGTTTCTTTCTGATTCAAACTTTAAAACATTATCTACAACGTGATCTTCGTTTCCTATTTCTTATTCTTTAACTTTTTCTAGCTCAAGGTTTAAATCAGAAAGAAATAAAGAGAAAGAAACAGGAAGCAAAAAGCACATTGCAGATTAAGCTTAAGTTTTAAGCCAGAAGAAGACAGAGAACAAGAAACAAAAGAAAAGAATTGTAGATTAAACTTAAGAGCGCATTCCTTGGCAGAAAAACAGAAAGGCAGAATCAGAACTCGTGCTGTTACAAAAGCGGGAACTAATCGACTACCATCTGACACCAGCAAGATTAGCTTTTGCTTTTCTGCTTTCTGCTCTTCTGCCAAGGTGTGAATGCGCCCTAAGAGTTACAGAACCGGCCTACAAGCGAGTTCGAGGAGTCTTGCCGTCAACGATCGCTTGTTGAGGTTTCATGTCGAGTCGCGATTCGGCAATCGTATTGTTGCGCCGGACCGATATCGAGATCAATATCGATGATCCCGGCGCGGGCTGAAGCAAGGGAATTGCATGATCGGTGCGCAAACGAGGCATCAACGAAGAAACGAGAGGATCGCATTCGGGCTACCGAGCCGAGCTGACGTTTTGGACAGCGGGCGATTGCGAGAATATAAATATGAGTGAAGGAGACTGCATATTTGCAGCATCCACACTTTCGGTATGTACAAGTTGCCTAATTCAAATGCTTTTAAACTAGGCAAATATTACTGAGAGAAAATTGATATTTACAAGTACACTGTTTGGTATTTACAACTATAATCATACAGAGAAATAATTACTATAAATTATGGTCAAGATAACCATTTTTTAGTCAATTATACTATAATTTTAGTTATAATAATCTTCTATGCATGTTACTACTACTATCTTCGGTGTGGACAACCAAAAAATATAATTGGTGTCAAATTAGGCCTCAACTATATTTTTTGGTTGTTCCAACACGATAATAGTAGTAATATGCATATAAGATTATTATCACTAAAATTATAGTACAATTAACTAAAAAATGGTTGTTTTGACCATAATTTATATTAATTATTTTTCTGTATGGTTATAGTTACAAATACCAAACATTTTTCTCTCAGGGCACTAATTGACAGCTTAAGATTTTACTTTAGAAATTTAGTTTTCTCGTCACATATCGAGCAATACTCCTATTTATTTTTGCGCGTAGTTTCATTGCGCGAAAGCACTTGTGATTTTGCAACCAATACGATGTAAATTTTGCAGAAGAAGGTCAGTATTCTGTCGGTAAAGTTGTCAGTATTCCCTTAAAAGCGGGAAGTTTCCTAGTCGAATTCAAGTGAAGTCTCCCAGCGATAAGGAAAGTCGATCAAACCTCTGCTTATGTTTCTGCACGGATAATTCGCCAGCCTATCGCCCCAAAGACATCCGGCCAACGAGTTCCACAACGCATTGTATGTATATACGCACCGATCGTAAAACCTAGCAACGTTGGAGGCCGTAATTTCTTGGCAGGGGGAGGGGGGGGGGCGGGAGAAAAATATTACCGGAGATTAGAAGCGGGATTGTACCGTTCGCACACGTCGACAAATGACATGGCGATTCGGCTGCATTGAGCCGGTTTTGGCTCGGACACGGCTAGAGGATCGATGAGAATCCGCGCGTCGTAAACGCACATAAACCCATTGTGCTTCCCGCGTCTCGGAGACGAGTCCGGGAAAAATCGCGTTCCGCTCTTTTTCCTTCGAGAACACCCGCCTCGCTCGTCCTCCTCCTCCCCCACTTGCCTCCTTGGACACGTCGCCGTAAAAGTCGCCACACATAGCGAGCGTGATACCAACATTCGCTGCTGCATGCCTGCAGTTTCGCGCGCGCTTTCGGAGCGATCGTTACGTAAATGCATAAGGTAGCGTGTAAGGTAGTGCTTGGGATACTAGTAGTAGTATTGCCAGTAGTAGCAGTAACAGTAGTAGTAGTAGTACTAATAGTAACACGCGACAGAGGGAGAATTTCATAGTAAGAATTACTGTAGAATTTTGCAGCCGAGGAATAGATTGAAATTCTCCAATGACTAATCATCTTTCATTTCGTATGTTCGTACTTCTATTTTAGGAACTAAAATGTATTGTTAAGGCTCCTTGTACCTCGCTGGCCATGTCGGATTTGTGACGTCAGAAGCGAGGAATGACGTGCTGACAAAAGTTGCGCACCATTTCTGAACAAAGATAAATATGGACGAAAGAACATTTGAGGTTACTTGAGCATACAAAATTGTCCCAAAGGTACCTCTGATGATCAATAAATAATCGTATAATAAATGATGAAATAAGACATGTGAAATGATGAAATGTTTTATCTGCATGTCTCATTTCATCATTTATTACATGACTATTTATTAACCGTCATAGAAAAGGAACCTTTCGGACAATTTTACAAGTATGCTCAAACGGTCTCAAGTGTTCTTTCGTCCATATTTATCTTTATTTAGAAATGGCATGCAACTTTCAGAATGTCGTTCCTGACGTTACAAATTCAACATAGCCGCGGCGAGATCTTTTTTTAAGGAGCCTTAAAAAAAGATTCGTTATATTTCTAGTAAAATTTACTATATCCCTTAGCAAGATAAACTTTACTGAGAATCTATTCCTGCGTTACTAAAAATAGTAAAACTGAACTTAAAAATAGTTTATATATGATATAAAGAACTATAATATTCTGCCCGGAGAAGTCTCCAGAGAGTGCAGAGGAGAATCAGACTTACCCGGCCGGATAAGCGACCAGCTCGCTCGTCGCGTCGCAGTCCAGGGCTGCATTGCTGGAGACTGTTACGCCCAGGACGCGTTCCAGCTTGATCTGAAACAGAGGGACGAGAAACTCGATGAGCACTCTCGCGAATATTTTGTCAAAATTCACGTTAGTCGATAAATTAATGAATAATAGTGTAGCTGCGCTTGGCGTGAGACCGCGATTTAATTTCCGAAATAAGAAAGTAGGCTCGTTTCGACGGGAGCAGGCTTTCGAGGTTGGCGATTTTTTGCGGAACTTGATTTCGCCGGAACATGACTGCCGATCGAAGTGGTAGTATTGTGGTGTTAATAAGCCAGTAACGTAGTGGTAATAACGAAATGTAACAAGTTTATTCTCTCTGACAATAAGTGCGCTCTCCAAAGGACACAGTCTGATCTGCTTTTCCTTGCCGCTGCCGTCTTTTATACCTTCCACACGCATACTCTCACTCACACAATAAGTTTTTTTTTATTCGACGCTCTCTAAAATAATAGAAACTGCGCTCCCAAAGTCGCCGCCATCAAACAGCGCCGAACGTTGCTACATCTCACTAGACGCCGCTAATCTCTCTTTGGAGACGCCGCCGTCTCCACCGCGCGAAGCTGCCGCTTCTATCAACGACGCCGAACTCTTACAGCGAACGCTACATCTCTCTCTCTCTCTCTCTCTCTTCGACTTATAGCTTGCCTATATTCGGTATCCTACAGTATCGTGCAAAGGAAGAAAAAAGAAAAACAGCTGCTGCGAAACACATCTCGTAAATATCTCATAAATGTAAATATCTATGCGGTTGTGCGCCGCGAAAGAGATCGCGCACGCCAGCCAGTAAACGGTGGCTAGGTAAACGAGGCTCCCTCTCTCTCTCTCTTTCTCTTTCTCTCTCTCTCTCTCTCTCTCTCTCTCTCTCTCTCTCTC